AGTACTTAAAGAATTAGCCTTTTATTATAAAAAAAAAAAAAAAAGGTCAGTACTACTTTGCTGGTGATGAACTTGGCAGCTGGGATCTGGTTCTAACTTCTAAGTCCATTATTAATTTATTAGTAATTTTATTATTTTACTAATTTATTAAATTTAACCTGGACAGGCTTTCTGCTCAGGATGCATTTGACTGATAGATAAGGAGTCACCGGGTTGTCAGGAGGTAGCGATACCCCTGAGAGAAGTGGTAGACGTAACTCACAGCAACCCTGCAATCCTACCGTCTTCACCCGAATAGAATCCCCAGTCATTATCGCTGCATCTGGACCGACAGTTGTCCCAAATACAGCTATAATGACCGGGCACTCTATTCGGGTGAAGACGGTAGCAGACTGTTGGTTCAAACGCCCGACAAGAACGGAAGTAAGTCTAAGAAACCAATCTGTCACAGTGTCACAGTTTATGAAACCCACTCTACATACCCACGCAGCCATGGATATGTGTATGCTGTAAATTGTCACCACAACAGTCCCTTCTGCATACCCAGTCAGCCATGTGTGTGTGTGTGTGTGTGTGTGTGTGTGTGTGTGTGTGTGTGTGTGTGCATGCCCCGCGCCTTTGGTTCCTCCCAATACATAAACTAGTAATCAGAGTACAAGCTACTCCGCGTCTGTGTTTGGCCAGGTGCTGCCCACACAACCACCTTCTTAATGCACATTTGTAGCCAAGAATAACTGAAGGAGCACTCACTCCCCCAACCACCTGTTTTTTCTTTTCTTTTCTTTTCTTTTCTTTTCTTTTTGCTTTCCAATTCAGCGTCAACTTACACCCGGACAAACATAGCAACCTTGAACTAAAAGAAGAAAAGGCAAAAAACTTAAAAAAAGAAAGCATACAATTTGTGACCCCCAAACCCTAGTTTCAGTTCTTGACCCGTTACCCAAGAGCTGAAAAGTGGGAGTCCTCGCTAACCACACTTGTGACAAAGAAAACAAAGGCAACCACAACTGTGAGAGATGCGTCAGCATGTATCTGTGACACTCACAGAGGAGGTAAGCAGACAGAAGGACAGGGCGGAAGAGCGGACAGAGCGGACAGCGAAGCAGACAGAGCGGATAGAGGGGGAAGAGGGGACAGAGAGGGGACAGGGGAGGGACAGAGCTATACTCGATAGAGAAGATCATGAGATTAACAATCTAGCAAATGAGCTGTTGCAAGTTTAGGGTTGGGCCCTATTGGTGCTATGTTTGTCCTAAGCAACACAGATCTGGTCGCTTTAATGACCAGATCCATGCCTTCTAAGCACCAATATAGCACCAGTGGGACCTGCTCGTTGTATCACCTTTCTAACCTCTTCAACATCGTGTCTCAGGATGCAAACTTCACGGTTGGATTTGCCGACCATGGTTTCAGAGAGAGAGAGAGAGAGACGCAGGTAGGCAGCCCAATCAACCAGCCAACTGGACCAATCGACCGTCCGACTGACTGAATGAGAGAAGGACAAGCCATGAAAGGGCGGACAGACTGACTGACTGACACACTTACAGACAGGGGACTGACCCAATGACAGGACAGGACAGACTGACGGACTGACGGAAGTACAGGACAGGGCATAGACTGACAGATTGACGGATGAAGGACAACCAGCGACTGACCAATCAACCATACGGACCAACCGCCCGACCGACTGTACCGACTGGCTAACGGACAGAAGGTCAAAACAGGACAGGCAGACAAACTGACTGAATGACAGAAGACAGGACGGGACGGGACGGGACGGGACGGGACAGACTGACTGACTGAATGACTGGAGCCTGACAGACTGGCAGACTGGCAGACAGAGACTGACTGACTGATCGAAGGACAGGCCGGGATAGACAGACAGACAGATTGACTGACAGATGAAAAGAGAGAATAGAACGAAAAAAAAAAAAAAAAGAGAACAGAACAAGACAGAACAGGTAGACGGAAGGGTAGATTAACTGACTGACTGACGGACCGAAGGACAAGACAGGACAGGACATGACAGACAGAGCGACAGACAGAGTGGCAGACAGACTGACTGGCTGACAGGAGGACAGGGCAGGACAGGACAGGACAGGGCAGGGCAGGGCAGACAGACACACACACGCACAGACGCACAGCCTTGTACGTGCGAGGCATCGTAAAAGAGGAGCTGTTGCCCCAAAGAAACCCCCGCTAAAAACAGGTCTAAATGGTTTTATTATGAATCATGGTAACCGTCCGGACGTCCGGACCGGGTTCCAGACAGTCCGGTGTCCGGTGTCTGATGTCCGGTCCTTATGTCCGGATGGAGGCCCCTGGGGCAAACAAAAAACAAAAAAAAAAACGGGGCGGCCCAGGACGTTTATCGGGTCCTGGCCGCCCCTTGAAAAATAACGGGGTGRTTTTTCAGTGTCTTTTCACCCCACCAGACAGGGCCTAGAGGTCCGGACACAAGACACTGCAGGTTCTTGGGGTGGCGGGTTTCGCACAGGCCCGAGCAATTTCAAAAAGCGGCCGTTTCGACGTGGCGCCCGTTGCTGCTCCCCGTTGGGAAGAGAGAGAGAGAGAGAGAGAGAGAGAGAGAGAGAGAGAGAGAGAGAGCACTGACAGTGCTGCCAGTCTGWAGACTCTGACGTTCTGAATTGAACTGCGAAGTTCGAACTTTTTAAGTTATATATGAAGTTATGAACTTTAGTCTTGTGCCTGCTTTGCACTGTTTGCAACTCTGCATGTCTGCTAGTTAAATGTGCTGGTTGATTTGCTGCAAGACACGTGCTCTGCTGCCTGAACTACAGAGT